GAAAACGATTAATCGATTATTAAATTAGTCATCGATTATTTTAATAATCGATTAGTCGTTGATTAATCGATTAATCGCTGCAGCCCTAATGTACCCCATACATAACAAGCAAGTACATATTTTGTTAGTATCAGATACTTAAAAAGTAAATACTTGGTGCTTACTGTACCAATATATTTACAAAAGGATGGTAGCAACACACACACACACACACATACATGCAAAAAGTGGCGTGCACAGCTAACCAAAAAATTTGCTTCACTAGCTCATGATCCGCTAGCTAAAAACACAGATTCACTAATGAATAACAGGTTAAAAATGTAGGGGAAGAAAACACAAAACAGCTAAACAAGTGAAAAATTAGCACAATCTAACAGCTAACCGCTAAGATGACAGTCACCCATGCTGCTTCACACATCTGTCTCCTTGGGGCAGAACCTAACTTAGTCATAATGTTACGGCTGTATTTGATCATTTTTGACCATATTTTTTTTTAGTTTTTCCTTCACCTGTCTGTAGTCTGTGTGATCCACCTTAACCAGAGGTGGTCTGACCATTGTCTTTAATGGTAAACCTGCATCATGTCCTGCTATACAGCTACCTCCACAAACCCAAAGCTCCACCCTGAAACCCACCCGCCGTGTCTTTCAGAAGGTCAGYACAGAAGTTGACCTCAGAAATGTTCCTCACACCTCCTCGGCCWCCGCAGCCACTCCTCCACTTGACGCCCCGCACCAGATGGGAAGTGTAGCTGCAGTTTTTTTGTTGATTTTTTTTTCAGACCCTGCATGCAGGGTTACAGGCTGTTGCGCTGGCAGTGGTGCTGAAGGAATGAAATATTCATGCAGGCCAGAAAAAAGAAAGAAAGGAAGAAAAAAAAACACCATGAATGAACACCCCAGGAGAAGAACGTGYCGATTTATTCAATAAGAGCAGGCCTCATTAAACTGCTGGCGACCAGGCAGGTCACAGTGATTTTCATTGACAGAGCTCGACCCCCGACACTTGAAGATGGGTGGAAGGGGGGGGTGGGGGTGGCACTGGAGTCCTGAATATAAAACAAGCCCCCAACATCAGTCTTTGGAAACGTTTGGATTCTCCCAGCGGGGTCGGGTCTGAAAGTTTGCTCCTCTGCTGCGGCTGACGCCCTGATGAGTGATTAGCAGCGCGGTGTCACAGCTCGGTGGCAGCATATGGGAGACGTGGGTGCCTCCGTCTGCAGTAGAGGTGTGTGTGTTTGTGTGCGTGTGCAGGGGCCAGAGGACACCAGCTGATAGGCACCGGGCCCCCACAGCCACGGGACCAAAACTAAAATTTGTAGCCTCATTTATCACTTGCGCCCACACTCCGAACCCTTCGTGTTGGCCCCCGACAAGACAAGGAATAATAAATAATGTGCTTTTAATGGCAGCGTGTTGTCGTCCTGCTCACCTAAACGATTCATAAATGGTTCTGAGACACCTTATCAGTTATCGCAGACAGGTGTGTCTCAGCCCCGCTCTTCCACCTGTTCTTTTATTATTCTTCAGCAAATATTCAGGAAAACAATGTTTGAGGACAAACTTGGGTTTGTGTTTTTTTATTTTTTTATTTTTTTGCTGACCATCAGATTGTCACTCAGGAGCCGGAGACACAATTAGGAAATCAGTTTCACTGCTGGGGATGAAGCACAAATTTGTTTTCCAGAATTTGTGTTCATAAATACCTGTTTTATTGTGGCTTGAGGCCAAAAGGCTGGTTTTGAGTGTTTCCCTGGCATCTCTGTGTCTGTTAGCAAAATATCACAACACCCAGAAAGCGGATTTTCAACGAAACACTTAGAAATGATCTACCAGATGTACGCATACAACTGATTAACTTTTGGGGTCAACTTGATTCAAAAAGGATGCCCCAGTCGCTTGACATCAGAAAACACAAAAATGGTTATAACTCAGTGTATTTTGCAGGCGTTGAGCTAAAATTGGGCGTGATGGTAGCTGAGAGTCATCCTCAACGCAAATTCCAAGAACAAACTGATTGGAGAGTTGTTGCTTAAAATGTTGCTATTAACTGTTGGAGTCATTTCTATCTGTCTGTTAGCAAAATATCTCATGAACCTCACAACTGATCTTAATGAAACTTTCAGAAAATAATCACTGGATGTATGTTTACAACTGATTAAAATCTGGAGTAAATTCAACCTAAAATGGCCACTGTGGCTGATGAAAAATTGCTAATACAAAAGTTATAATACCTCAATCAGTTTTACAAATGTTGAGCTGAAACTTAGTGTGGTAGTAGCCGAGAGTCATATTTAACAACTTTTCTAAGAACTAATGGATTGGAGCAGAGTAAAGGCATAAAACCTTGGCACCAACTGTAAGAGTCATTTCTGTTTGTCTGTTAGCAAAATATCTCATGAACCAATCAACTAATCTTAATAAAACATTCAGACAGTAATCAAAGGATGTATATCTACGACTGATTAACATCTGGAGTTAATCCAGTATAAAATGGCAATGGCAGCTGATCAACCTTAGCCAACACAAACATTGGTATACTTCAATCAGTTTCACAGAGTATGAGCTAAGATTTGGTGTGGTAGTAGCTGAGAGTCCCCATCAACACTTATTGAGAGTACAAACAGACAATAACTTCTCTAAAGCAGAGGGTTGTTTCCCTTGTTTCCCTGCTCCAGTACACCTGAACCAGTGATTTAATTACTTCTTCAAGTTCTGCAGAAGCCTGTTTGTTATTTTCATCTCCAGACTAGTAAAACAAGAACTAACAGCAGGACATCTTGGTTCAACGCGTTTTCTCGAAACTTGTTTATCAATCAGACCAGTCTGCCTTTTTTTTTCTTTTATCTCCAAACATGCACGCTTCTAAATAATGAATCCCCCCCAGCAGCCCCCCTCTGGGTCGTGATTGAGTTACAAACACACAATAGGGGAGAAAAAGTGGATCTTTGTTGGCTTGCAGTTTGACAGCAGGGTCAGAGGCTGCAGGGCTGCTGATGGGAGTGACAGTAAGGTGACTGAGAGGAGAGGCACTATAAATGACTGCGGTGCTGAACCAGCTCCAGAGACGAGCTGAGACCTGTCCACACCAGGACCCCACCCCSCCATCCTCACCGATGGCTGCTAAAACCGAGCTTCCAGGCTGGCCTGACTACCCGGAAGACTTCCCGCTGCTGCAGCAGAGTGACTTCAGCTCCACAACTTGGATCTCCTCGGACTCAGAGCGCACGGAGGGGCCGGAGGGGAGCGCACTGTCCCCGGCGTCCGTCGGTCGCGCGGCTGGAGGCGGGGGCGCGCAGAGGCACCGGCGCGTGGCCGCCAACGCCCGGGAGCGGAGGAGGATGCACGGCCTGAACAAGGCCTTCGACGAGCTGCGGAGCGTCATCCCGTCCCTGGAGAACGAGAAGAAGCTGTCCAAGTACGACACGCTGCAGATGGCGCAGATCTACATCACCGAGCTGTCCGAGCTGCTGGCCGGCGTGGTGCAGCAGGAGTGCCGGGGACCGCCACCACCGCGCTCCGGGAGGAGCCTGGTCCACCCCCTGCGGACTCCAGAGACCCCCACCCTGCAGCAGCAGCAGGAGAGAGACCCACCTGCTCCTCCCATCAATCACCTGTTCATCCTCAGACCTCCACCTGAGTCCACCTCACCTGGAGCCTCTTCCTCCCACAGCAGTGATGGAGAGTCGCCCCCTCCCAGCGACACGGAGGACAGTCAGACCGGGACACACTGACACCGAGGCTTTACACGAGACATGCAGTGGACATGATTAATTCCTCAGATGAACCACAGTAGGCCTTCAGAAGCACTTTAAGGACCTCAGAGACATTTCCTGTCATTAGCTGGATTTTAGATTTTATGTCTAATTGAAACTGGTATTTTTCTATTTATGCATATAGTTAATATTTTATGAGAAATGTTTACAATAAAGATTAAAAACACGAGCGTACATTTTATTTTATTTTATTTTTGTCTGATCTTAGAGCCTATTCATTCTAAATCCCAAATTATTGTTTTATTCTGATGACAGAGTTTAAGTATAAAAATAATCTTTATATGGACAAAATACATTGGTTTTTTTTTCATCACTTTAAACATGAGCTTTTCTGAAGATGTGCACCTTCCATTCTCAAATTTAAAACTAAAAGTTTTGTGACAAACTCACTCAGTAACGTGATGGAGACAACAAGCTCAACTTTTAGCCTTTTTTACATTTATTGCAGTTGATCATCTGTGGCAGCACCTTACAATTTGTTGGCTTGAAAAGGTAATGAGTTGTTGATGTTCATCCAGTGATTACTTGCTAAGAGTTTCATTGAAAGGCCTCAGGTTCATGAGACATTTTGCTAACAGATGGATATTGTTAACATCATCGTAATGTTAGTTTAAAGGTACAACCCAGTCATCCTGGATATGGCAACTAAGAGTTTTTTAGACAACTATTTTTAAATCTGGGGAGCTTTCTCGGATAAATATAAAAAGCTAAATTAGCACAAAGTGTGCAGAAGTGCAAAAACAGAAGAAAACAGGAAACAAATGATGAGAAGGTTGAACCTGTGTGTGCACAACAAACCTTCTCTTTGCTGTTTTTATATATTAATAAAAAGTCGTCAGAACTCACATGCTCAACGTTCTTCCCTCCCTGAGGTTATGCACTGATGCACACGTCTCTGTGGCAAAGAACAACATAATACCAAACATTTTCTCTGCTGCAGCTATTTTTTTAACCAAAATAAAAGCCTTTTAGAAACATTTTTATAAACAAAATAAAAAAAATCCAAACATCTATGATCCTGCGAGGCGTGTCGCGGCAGGAAAAACCAACTCAWCGTGTCACATGACAGTCCATCACGGCTGAAAAAAGGTGGGGCTGCCCACTCCGGGGGGAGGAGGAGGCTGGAACCGGGCCAGGTCCTTGGAAATGATCTCAGCCAGCCTGTGTTTGAAACTGCCGGGGACCTCCGTGCAGCAGGCGGCGTGGGACGTGCCCACGCCATCCTCCGTCTCCTTCGCGTCATCCACCGTCTGGGTGTCGTACCCTTGGTGGATACAATCATCCGCCGGGGGCAGGTTMGGGTTCTTGAAAGCGCCACATTGATCAGCTTTAGGGGGCTGGGGGTCCGAGGGGATATAGTCATTACTCACAAAGGAATATATATCATTGGTTTTGTTTTCTTCTAACACAGGCAGCGTGTCTCTCCTCAGGTTGTAATAAGTGCTGTCCTCCTCGGTGTTGCTCCTCCAGTTCGCGGCCTCCAGGGAGAGACAGCGCTCCTCCTCGTCCTCACCTTCCTCTCCCACCTCCTCCTCGCTGCAGGAGAGACCAGGTTGGATCAGGCCCAGGTGCTTCACGCTGTCCGCAGAGGAGGGGGCACTGGTTGTGTAGTATTCACACTCAGAGCCGTCGTTGGTGTCTCTGACGTCTCTCTCCTCGGGGACAGGAACCACCGGGAGCCGGTCGACTGGTTGGACCACCGGAGACACGTCGGGTAAGGACATTCGGTGGACGCTCAGGGGATGGACGCCCTCTTCCTTCTTTGGCAGACACTGCTTGGCGATGGCCTGGAAGATCTGCGGGCCGTGTCGGGTCAGGAAGGTGAAGATGCCTTCGCCGGACTCGCAGCGGCGGCCCGCTTCGATGCTGAATCCCCCCTGAAATCACAGCCCAATAAACAGTCAGTCAGTCGAGATGAGAGGTCAGATCRTTTGAAGTGGTGTCCTGCAGAAAAGCAAAACACCTCAGTTTAACTCTGACCTGACTGATGAGCTAATGGCTAGTGTTGGCAGAGCCAAAACCAAAATGGATTACTGCCACAAAAATTCACAGCAATTCATGCAGATTTATTGTTATCCATTTTGATTCAYCTAAAGGTAGATATAATGTAGAATTAAATAGTTTTTTTATTTTATTTTTTGCAGGTGCAAATAGTAGCAGTTAGCTGTAGCATTACCAGCACAGCCTACAATCTTATAATTAGTTACTTCTACAAAACAAGACAATCTGACATGGGAGCCCATTCTCATGCCCCCCAGCGTCAAGGAATATTGGCGCTTGACCAAGCGTCATTATGTTGACGTGCTTACGAGATGGGGCAGAGGAGGACGACGCGTATTTACAAGACTGAAATTACACGAAACTAACCATCCTAGACCCTAAATTTACCTTCTACTAGCYTTAGGGGKGCAACAATACATGTACCTGTATCGAACCGTATCGAACAGTGCTGTTTCGGACAATACGATTTTAAAAATTTACTTTATCAACTTGTCTTCTGAAGATGCTCTGTGTTAAAGGATCAGTGGATCTGTGCTCGACTACTCCACCTAGGCTGCATTTTGAGCGCAGATCCACTGAGAAACTTACTGTTTCAGCAACATTTAATTTAAAAACTGTACTTTTGAGGTTAAACAAATGTTCATAATTAATTTAAATAAATTACAAGTTAAAACGGGCATGGACATTTCTCTTTTTTGTATCAAAAAAATATCGAACCGTGAGACCGAAGTATCGAACCGAACCGTGAGTTTCCTGTACCGTTGCACCCCTACCTTATAGAGCCTAACCCTGACCACAGACTCTAAAGTTAACCATTAATCCTGRTTCCTCATGTTAACCTCATACGTCACGCAAACCCGGAAAAGCCGCGGGCGGCAAGAACAGATGCGCAGGCTACCCCCTGCGCGTCAACATATAGTTAAGTTTTGTTAGTTTTCATGTCCCCAAAGGTAAAAAATAAAAACAATAATAAAAGTAATTTACACATGAAAACGTGCAGTCTGATCAGGAATAGATGCTGTAACATTTGGTAGTAAAAGATACAATTTGCAAAAATYGGAGAGAAATTCCCCCATAGACAATAATGGGATTGTGGTGAAACAGAAGTTGTGAAGCTCAGGTTTACTGCACAGCAGAAACATCATTCAAAGTTTAAATGAGACACAGAAAGTTGAGTTTTACACGTCTGCACAACCATTCTGATATAATATTGATGTTTTTTATTCAGAGTTTTTATCTTGATGTTTTACAGAGTTGATGATGTCATAGTCTCAAACTTTCTATTTATATATTTATTTATTTGTAAATGCCTATGTTAAGAGTGTTGTCAGGGAGTGAGCGACACTAATGTGTGGTTACCATGGTGAATCATACCTAGCCAACGGTAGCAGCTTTAACTTTTTTTTATCTTGGTTCTYTTCACCCTTCATTTGTTTTCCTTCAGAAGTGTTTTAGTTATTTCTAACCTTTCAACAAAACCACTTCAAAAAACTTGATCTATTCTCCAAAGTACTGGTTATTTTTTTATACCTCCACCTGTCCGAATCTGCGCAGCAGCCTGTAGGGCCAGCAGTAGACGACAGCACCAGTGCTGATGTCGCTCAGAACCAAATCATCCTTATTTGTGGACACCAGGTACTTGCCAGCCAGCTTACACCACTTGGAGGCCTCCGTGCTCTGAACCATCACTTCGTACTGGTTCGGAGGAAGAGTAGAGTCTGAACGGAAGGAAAACATTAGGCATTAGCCTCTTTAATAAATGTTTACTTCATCTGTGTAGGCTGTTTGGTTTTTATAAATTAAAAAAAGTAATTTGTCACATGAACGATGCCATGTTATTTATGCTGTAAAGCATTCTTGGTAAATGATAACACAAGGTGTTCTGCTGCGAGCTGAATCAAGCTTGAAGGTTAATTTCAGACAATGTTTGACAATCGACTCTTTTAAATGAAACCAGAGAGCGTTGACAGAGAGAAGGTAGAAATGACTCAGCCTGAAACTGAAAATGTGACTGGAGGACAACAGAGCTGCTTCATGGAAGGAGAACCTGAGCTTTAGTCTTTAGCTTTCACGTTAGCTCCAGAGCTAGTTTATATAATGGTGATTATAGGGCGTTAGCACCAGAGCTAATTTAATAAACAGCACGTTTGATCTTTCAACCAGAACTAATACAAAATGTAACTTTATTGTCACAAATTGGAACATTTTAGCATTGATTTGCTTTGTTTTAGTCTCAAGTGGCACCCACCATCATCATCATCAGCATCCCCAGAATGCATTGCATGAGTAACAAAATGGTGACATGCTCAAGTGAAAATAATAATTAACAAATGCAGTTTTTTWTTCATAATTAGATGTCATCATACTCTCCATCACATGACAAATTCAAGGCCCATGGGCCAAATGTGGCCAGCAGGTGACTTGGTCCGGCTCGCCAAAAGCACCTATTCCCCCCAAAGAAAAAAGTTTAAATTTTTTTTTACTTAAATAAAAATGGAAAAAAATATATCAACGGTAAACTTGAATTTATGACTCAATATAACAAAATAAACACATTTAAAAGGTGAAGGATAATAATACTTGTCCAGCCCCAAAGCTGCTGATTTTGAGTAACTGTAGCCCACCGAGCAATTAAGTTGAATTAAGCTGCATTCAGACTTACCACAATTCAAGAGTGAGTAAAACTCTTACTTTTAATAGTATTTCTGTACTGTTCATTTCACACTCAGTCAGTCTAAACATAGTACTTTTCAATGTTTATAGGAGGAAATGTTAAAACACTGATTCTATGCAGGGAATACCATGTAGAGCTCAGTTATTGTTTGATAATGCTCAGCCGTATCAATGAGATGAGGAACATAACACTTTCTCACATAAAAAGTGCGTGTGTCGGGGTCTTCTAAATAAAAGAAGACCCCGACACACACACCCCCACCCTCAAATGTGCTATTGATGCGTGTTGTTCTATAGTGTAGTTAAAAGGAGAGGAAGAAGGGGCAGGCAACTGTTCCATTTTGACTTTGATTTTCTTTAATAAATGGCAACTTGGAACTTATTTTTTTTATCTATTTTCTCAAAACAGTCAAGTGTTTTGAAAAGGACGGAAAAGAACTAAATTAAAAATAACATTTTGGAATTTAAAAAATATGMTACCTTTCTATCCATCTTGAGTAAAAATGAAAAAWGAAGTCAGTCCTACTTTTCATGACSAATATCTTTCATATAGCCTTTTTGATGATGAGGATGATGGGATGATGCCAATCTGATCTACAAATTACTGTCATCAGTACAATTTATCTGGGACAAGTTGGACAAATGATAGAAATTACCACGCTTCCAGGAGGAGTAAAGGTCATTGTCCTCCATGGTGAAGCCAGTTCCTCCTCCAAGTTCCTCTTTGTCAGAGCCTCCAGGATCTCTCTGTAAACACGGTGGCACAACAAACATTAAATGGAGCAAACGCCTTCCTCTTATCACCGTTTATGACTTCAAAGTGGTAAGACGCAATCAAGACCGTAGCTTGTGCAAGCAGAAGAATTACAGAAGTGGCAGAAGTTGTATCAACTTCCTCATGAGCTTATCGGCCTGGGAAAGTTTGTCCTCGTCTTTCCCAAATTCGAGTGTTGACAAGAGGGGAAAGGCGTTTGGAGAGGAGGGGGTCAGACAAGCAGGTACCTGGAAAGCAAGGAGACAGAGAGCGCTGGTCCAGTCTTGGCTTGACGTGGAGGCGAAGGTGTAGTTGCACTGCTTGGTGTTGAGGTAGAAGGCCGTACAGCCGGCAGGGCAGGCCTCTCTGGGAGCCGGAGTCACGCTGAGACAGTCACTTAAACGCACCACTTTCCTCTCGGCCGTTTTCTGACGGCCCGACTTCGCGTGCTCGCTGAGAGGACCGCCGTCACCGCCGGCGCAGAACTCCAGCCGGCCCACGCCACTGGAGCTGGGCTTGAAGAGCACCATCCATACTTTCCTCCAGGTTTTCTGAGGAGAAAACAAAACTTTTAAAGCTTGGCACTGGGCGACTGTTGGCAGCTTGCTRGAGATATAAAAGTGCATAACAAAAAGCAAAGGTTCATGTACAAACAAATTAAATTGGTGATAATGCCAGGTTTGTGTGTGTGTGTAACTGCAAACAACTTTGCGACATTTTGTCTTAATTTTTGTCACAGAGTCTTGTCAATCAGTCACAATTTGATTTCATGCGTCACCTATCCCTCCTAAAGTGCATTTCTCACACTTTCTGATTGGCTGAGACTATATTGAAATGGGTTTGAGATGCTTGCGATGACTCGAGCAGGAGAGAAATTTAGTTATGCTCTTGTTTTGGAAAAGGTCCAAACTGTAGCAGCAAAGCAAAACCCTGCTACTCACTCAAGGTAACAGAGAACCCTCGTGAAAGTTACAAGACCATTTGTAAACACCCTGCTTAATGAAGTTTGCATTTTGTCAAWAACAGTCCCTGCCCAGTTTAAAAGGATAAATTTATCATATTTAAAGTGATGTTTTGTCACATACTTATAAATAGTTTGTTATCAGTCATGACATCAGTTGTAGAACATGGAGTAGGCTAATGACTAGAAATATGCAGCACGCATGCATTAACAAACTTGTTCAGTCGAGTAAACAAAACACAATGTAGTTTTACACTAGCATGAATTGTTGTATTAGCCTGAAAAATGATTATTATTTGGATGATTATTTGCCTAGTCATTTGCCAAAAAATACCCTCACAATTAGCCTATCCACTACCCATACCATTAAACCATTAGCTTATATA